TCCCTAGCGGTTTCCAGGTACAAACATAATGATATGAACGTTATTTCGCTCCAAGAAAACTAAAAATGTTATTAAATTTTTCTTTAGTTCGCCATTTTCTTCTCGAGAAAAACGTGCGAGAAAACTATTAATAATTGAATATTAATGCAAAAATCATCTGCAATTTAAATGAACTCCTTTGACATTCTAACTCAAAATTTTATCTTGGAGGGATTTGTGTATAATTCAAACACACTTTTTTGCCAAGAGTAAATAGTTTAATTGCAAAAACGTATTTAGACTAATGACTAATTCATCCGACTTGCACATTAGATTTTATTTTAAGATGACCAAAAAGGGTTGTTATGAATTAAACCATAACAGCAAATAACCATTCCTATAGCAGAGAAATATTCAATGTTTTGACATCGCCGGTTTAAATAAGAGGCAAACCAGTCTTTTTGAAATTAACTGCTGTTCATGATCTCATAGTATAAAGTACAGGGAGAGTTTCTTTGCAGGGTCAGTTCTTCATACACTGATATTTCCCAGTTATTTCGCACACACAAAAAAAACTTGAAACCAAAAAGTACCTTGCAGACGTGAAAAAGTTGCTCAAGAGATTTCGTTAAATTGTTTTATCAGAGAATTTTGCACACAGATTCCCTAAAAGTTAAAACAAGAAGTGAAGTGATTGGAAGATGAACACTTTGTCACCAGACGTGTGAACAGGGAGATAAGGAGATGTCTGTCTCAGTGTAGAGCATCAAAGAAAATGTATCGATGAACAGCTAAGACCAACTCGATCTTGGTGTCCGATTTAGGGAAGTTTTTGTCTATGGAGAGTCAAAGAAAATGACTGAAGAACGGCAAAGACCAACTCTTGCTGTCCGTCTTTTAGAGAATCAAATAAAACGACTGAAGAACGGTAGAGATCAACTCTAGGTGTCCGTTTAAGCGAGATGTCCGTCTTAAGGGTTCTCCAATCAAAGAAAGTGACTGAAGAAAAAACGGGGCCAATCTAGGATTCAGTTTAAGAGACCAGAATGACTGTTCAATTTCAGTTGAGGAGTCTATCAAAACAGAGTGGTCTGTGCTATTGGAAAGCTATTACTGACCACTTTCAAGAAATTCATGCACGATAAGAAGAGGAAAACTCAAACAGTTTTCTCTCTCGATGATATGTCTTGATTAATTTTTGTTGTGGTAAATGTATTTATTTCTTTAATTGATGAGAGCCGTGATAAGGATAACTGTCAAAAAGCACATAGGCTACACTGAAACAATCCCTTTTTCGATTCCTCATGATTATGTGATCTCTAGGAAATTCATCCACTCATTTTCCTTACAAATGGAATTCATTATCCTATTCACTCACTAATACAGTGGCTAATGGAGGAAATCATGCAAAAATTCATATTTCTTTTAAGCAAACTCCTAAGAAATAAACAATACCATCGAAGAGGTTTCATTTGAATGGTAACACCATAAAATTTTTATCCACAGATTAAAAAGTTAGAGGGGCAAATCATCTCGCAATAACCTTGCCTAGTAGTCAACTGGTATAGTGAAAGGGGTAAAGATTGCGTGTTCGACGGTGATAAAGTGTTAATTCGGCGTTAATGAATTTACCGTAGTTAGTTCCGACGCTGTCACGGCTGTAATCAACTCCCTTTGAATGACCATTTAGATTTAGACTCTACAAAATAAACTGAAAAGTTCAAATTTAAACATAGCGATTCTCTACTGACTGGAAGTCTATTCTTGTCAGCCCTGAAATTTTCTTTGGACAATTGTATCTACGAGAAAAAACAGCAAAGATATCTCAGTATACCCTGGGTAGGAGAGGTTTCTTCTCGCGTACGGCGGTTGAGTATATACGCTGCAGAAAAGCCGTAACAAATTACAATACCTTTGTTATAGTTACAATGTAACGTAGTGTACTTATAATTAGAGTGTGTTTCGTGCAGTTTGCTAGAAAATTGAGGGAGCGGAGAGGAGACATTCCTTAAAGAAGTTTTTTAAAAAAGCCCTGACTATTGTTAAATAACATAATCGCTACCATTAAAATACCGCAGTAAGTAAGCGATTGCTTTTCAAAAAATTATTTTTGAACTTTTCCCCGGAATACGGTTTCCGTTTTGGTTTGTTTCATGCCGGACCTTTTACTTCATTATGCCTTAACTAAGGCTTCAAAAAGTAACGACAAAGAAAACAACAAAAGCATCAACTACATGAACCAATTGAGAGAAAATCACGGAACGAAAATTGTGACCGAAATGCTACTCGTGATGCTACTGAACGACTTGTCAGTTAAGCTAGTTGTAACAGAACCGCAAAAAGGATGTGGACTCTCGTCTCTGAACCTTGTATTTTCCTAGATTGTAAACGGATGAAATGGTTCCCACGATTTATAGCATGGGTGTCGATCTTTTATTGTTATAGTGGAAGCTGTCGTAGACTGTGTTAATTGTCGGTGTGCAAATAAGAGCCGTACAGACCTGCCGGGCTTTTCAACTAATAACACCATAAAACCATACCGCTATTTAACTTTTATAGTTTGTAGAAAAATATGAAATTAATCATGACAATAAAGATGCCTCGTCAAAAGAATTTTTTGAAAATTACGCTCCTTTTTTTAAAAACACAGAAAGAAAGGATAAAAATTAGAGTCTTTTTAGTGATAAAAACTGTACGCGCCATTATGAAGTGTATGATCGTTATTGACCGCAACTATCTATTGATTCTTTCCAAAAAATAGCTTACAATTTAAAAAGTACTTATTCTTAATTAAGACAAAGTATTTAAAGCAACGAAATGGCAACGTTTAAATTAAAGCTTTCTTATAAACCAACATGGTCTTTCTATGATCAAAATGGCTTTTTCCTTTGATGGTATGTTTATAAGTTAAGGCACGTTACACGGAACATTATTTACGATTGGATCAAATACACCAAATGAATTGTTTTTTCCGTGATGAAAACTGAAAGAAAGGAAAACCTTTTTCTTTTTTAAATGAATTTACTTTGTCTCTGTAAGTTGTCACTATAGTGACAGAAGACTGAATAAGTCAACAAATTGAAGCTAGCAAACTGAAATACTCTCCGGCAAGCCTGACAGCTGCCGATCGGCAGATCAATGTTTAAATTTCGTTCGGCGTATGTAAAGATTTCCTTTCTTGGGCTTATAACCGTACTTTGTGGTTTGATATTTGGCTTCCTGAGAGAAGGTAAAATCGGAATGGCATACCACAAAACCTCTCGCAATCTTTGATCAAGATGGTGGGAGAAATTTACGCGTAATCAACACCGGGATTATTTTTGTCCAGTTTTTCATCAACAGTCAGGTCGATACAAACGACGTATTTTTACCTCGTTGTAATCAGCTGGACTTTGGAAATAAACTTTCACCAGGCTGATTGCCCTTAAGAAGGATAGATTCAAGAGAGGACGTTTTGCAGACGATTAATGAAATTAATCAACCACCGTTTTGAAATCACGAAAACGCTTTGTTGGTGGCAGATTGACGGCTTTCAAGAAAAGAAGCTTGAACTTCCGTTTTGAGCCAAACAGCGCCAAGTCAGTAAACAGGTCGAGACCTGCTTTTTGGACGCCTTTCGACAGTGGATAAACAATTCTAGAAAAATGGCAGCGATTATTCATCTAACAAGTGCAGTGTGTCTATCTGCTCTGTCGGTCACCACGGTTACGAGCAATCTCCTTCTTCTTGTAGCTATTTGGAAAGATCCGCTGAAATGTTTTACAGCGCCGACAACGAGTTTCATCGTAGTCATCAGTCTTGCAGACCTTCTGACCGCGCTCACGACCGA